GTCTTAGTGAGAAAATTCTTCCTTGTATCTAACCTAAACTTCCTGTGCTGCAACTTGAGACTGTTGCTCCTTGTTCTGTCAAATGTTTTCTTCATGCTTACCAGGGACCTGCTTCCCAGCTGAGCCTCTGGGTCCACACCCAACCTTGGTCGCTCAACCTTTTGGCCAGAAGCTCAGTATACAAACCCCTAAGCCACAAAACAAGACCCACACAAAACAATCTGTTTAAAATGAGAATGTTTCAATGCATGGTTTGACTTTTTGCCTACCCCATCATAAACTTAATACATTCAAAGCTAACAGGGCCATTATTTAAACTGTGCACACAGCAAAAAACATTTCCTATTGAGTTCAAGGTTAAAAAATTGCTTAAGCCATATTACCTATGTTGGCAAATTCATGAAAAAGCAGCCTATGCTCAGCTGTTCAGACCTCACTGCAGAGAAGACTCAGTTAATCAGTTGTTAGTCAATTCCTGGCTGCTACTAAAAAACCGTCAAATGGGGGCCTGCTTGTTAGCGGTCAGAAAGTTGACTAGATGCTGTTAATTTCATCAGTGCTTCTCTCTTTCCAGCTCTCTCTGTTGCTGCAACCATAAAGCTGACCCTGCCACAAAGCACTGATGGCAGCTGAGAAGTACAAAGTTGAACAACCTACTAAACATGCTAGGTATATAGATATAGCTATTTGCCAAATACACCTCTAGTTTAAAATGCCCAGTGAGCGTACGTCATGTGACAAGGATAAAGAATGCAAGAATCAGTTGCTTTCTTTTTAACACTGCATGAGAATCTTTATTAGAATAAGACAAACATTATTATCCCTAAAACTCACTCTCACATGATTTCACTGCAGAGCTTCCACCTTGAATCCACTTCAGAATATGCCTGACTTTCTGCAATAGATTTCAAGTAGCACGTGTACAAAAGTTTTAGGGTTTCTTTTTGCTAGGATCTGACCTTGTTTTTGTTTGACTAGTCAGTCTCAACGCATGCAAAACTAAAGGCTTTTTAGCCTCTACAAGATAACTTCTTTAAAATAGACACAAAAATTCCCTAGCATGTGAGTCACAGTAAAGAGCTCTTAAAGACACAAGAAAACATCCAAGGCTCTAGGGGAAGAAAAAAAAAAAAAAATCAAACAGATATAAAGAAGAATATCAAAAGAACTTAAGTGTTAATATGTAAGATAACTGAATGGTAAAAATCCAACTCCTGATACTTTTGAAACAAGCTTTTGTTTAACCAAAAAAAGGAACTTAATACAATGTTAAACATAGATGTTAATGTTATATTTTACATCTATGCAGTACACACACAGAAATGGTCATATTTTTTTCTGCCGTTGGCTTTTCAGTAGTTTCAAGAAAGAAAAATCTTCCTTTGCTTTATGTGCATTCAGTATTTGTGCCACGCTATGAAGCCTTTCAAATACATGGGGCCAAATACTAATCTAAACTATACTGGAGTAACTCTGCAGCAGATTACTACAGTCCCCTAGGAGGAAATTAGAGAACAAATAGAACCAAAGCCTAAGAATTTATTACGAGTATTTGTTTTAACATAGTACTATACCTAGGAGCACTAGTCCTGGAGCAAGACTCCATTATGCTAGACACTATACAGATACAATATGGTTATTGGTTCCAAAAAGTGTACAATCTCAGTACAAGACAGAAGATAACAGATGGATATGGTAATCAAAAGGGAGGCAAAGAAACAATGAGACCATGGTGATCAGCTTGAAAGTGTTATCTTCCATAGCCACAAGCACAGCGGTAGAGAATTTTAAGATGGGATTTAACAGAGAACGTGTTAGCTCTGCTGTGGTTGTGGAGCTGTGTGTCATTCCCTGCCCCCCTGCCCCGCCCCACTCCCCCCAGGGGTGAGAAGCAGCCTGGGAGAAAGCAGATAAGTGACTGTTTGAAAAGTTTGAAAACTCTGTCAATGGGTTGGTAAAGCTAGCATCAGGGACAGCTCAGAAGCAGGACGACAAGCTCAAGAGCTGACAGATGCCACGTGACAGGCAGGGAAGGACCGGCTGCCTGCAAGCAGCTGGCATTTGATGCAGCAGAGAAAGGGGAGTCAGGAGCAGAACCCAAATTAGGTCCTGATGCAATCAAAACGACGGGTTACAAACATTATCCCCGCAGCAATGCTTTAGAGGCAAGTGGGTCCAGGTAAGGGCCTGGGCTAAAAAGGTGTCACCAGGACCTTTCAGACTTCACAGGAGGAGAGCTATAAAGTACCATCACCAGCACCAAAACAAGTACAAAGAGACAGAGGCCTCAGGCAGGTGGAGGGGCAGACTGGCAGCAGCACCTCGGGTGCCTGCCTGAGGGATCCTGCCTCAGCCTGGGTTGACCAGATCACCTTGGGAGATCCCTTCCAGCCCTGCTTGTCGGTGACTAGTACAGCTGAAGCAACTGCCTGGCAGCACAAGCCAGGAAGGCGCCAGGCGCCCACCATTAATGCCACCCACTGCCCGGAAAAAAGGAAGACATGAGAGGCAGCAGCAAGCCGCTGTGTCCGAGGCCAAGCCAGCCCAGCCCCGTGTGCGCATGGGGCGCGCACAGCACCGACTGCAGGCACTCAACCTCCGGGCCCGGCCCGACACGCGCGAAGCGAAGCTCCCGCCAGTGCCAGCCACTGCAGCCAGCGGAGGAGAGCAGGCAGCTCGAGCTGCCCGGGGCGCCCCCCCCACGCCCGGACCCTCGGTGGGGGAAGGGGGTGGAGGAAGAGGCCGAGACGTGCGGGGAGCGGGAGCCCCAACAGCCGATGCTCCCCGCACTTACGAAGGAGTCGCTCGTCACCATGACGACGCTGTACGGCCCCCGAACGGCCCCGGCGCGGGGGGCCCTGCGGCCCACGGGCCGCGCCCGCAC